GTTTGAAATACCATCAAATGGTGAGCAAGTTAGGGCATATAGTTCAATAATTTTGTCAATGACGATAACTAAACTTCAATTTTCAAAAGCAACGATATTCGATGAACAAAACAAAGGCCAAGCCTTACCACTATAAAGTACAATTTCATACAAGTTGTCATCAACTTATTAAATTATCCGCATGTAGTTTGTTACAATTTTCCCAAATTTTGTCCATCAATTTCCTCGCTTGTATTTGTTTTGTTTTGTTTTGATATTTGAGTCATTTTTATCGGTCCTGAATTCTAAATTTCTTTAAACTGCGTGAAATAGCTCTTTAAATCGTCTCATTAGTCTACATTTATTTTATTATCCTATTGCCTTGGCTTATGTATCAGCTAAATGGATAATAAAGAAAAGAGATCTGAGTGCTATTAACTGACACTTGTGAATTTTGCACCTGTGATTGCTATTAAGGGGGTCCGCTAGTTTAAGCGACAACTTTGAGAAATCCATAACCCAAGACGAGCTTAATCTACAGTTGAAATTTATGGCTTCTTTTGGGGTGCATGAAAGCAAGAGAACGCGCTTATGATTGAAATTCATGGCTACTTTCGCGGTCTAAGAAGTCAAGAGGACACGCTTTATTCTAGCACCTTCGAGAACGCTTAATTTTAACTTTCGAGAACCGTACCCCACAGCTTATTTACTCGAAGAAAAACGGAGAAAAACGTTTCTCATGGGTTGATGTGGCAAGGGTACGATTTTCGTGTACAATGCCGGGGTAAACTTTGTTAGACTGGTCAGTACCAGCTCTTGCTGTCAGCTTTAGTGTTCTCCACTTCACAGAGGATGAATGCGACCCGCCCACCTTCCCTCAGGGGATACAGCCAGACAGTAGAAAAATTCACAATGTTACAACCCTGCATTCATGTGATAATAGGGAACAAGCTATTCTGTTCGGATATGGAATTCTGAAAAACGTCCCACGGTTGCGACATGACCAACATTGCATGTTTTCCTAGAGAAAAGTCTTTGTTACGCCCACGGAAACTCCGACTATCTAAACAGTTTCTGTTGTGTTCTGGAACAAAAATTTGAACCCTAGCCTTATCTGTAACTTCATTACCCACTCACTGTTTTCTTCCCATTTTTCATTTTCCCTTTCCCTGTCCCCCGTTCCCTGTTTTAGTAACATCCTTTGGAACGCGGCTTTGCTAAATACTGGCTAAAATAACCGGCCCAGTTTTCTTTCCAAACTTTAGCCCCTCACTTTGACTTGTAGCTTTTCCGTTTTCTCGGTAAGAGCTCCGTTGAAACTAACACTCATTGTCTTCCTAAATATAAAGATTATTCCATGTAGATATTCCAACGATTTTCCCACCATCGCTTCAGTCGGTCAGAATAACTTGTCGATGTTGTGACGGGAACTGAAACGTTCTTTTCTACATATTAGTTCTCTGCAAAGTAATTTGAACTCCACTTATATGAAAGTGTTTCGGGAAGTGGTAAAGATTGTCTTGAATTATGCGATAAGGGCAGCCCGCTGCCTTTAATGTTTATCTCAGTTTGTATGATTGGGGACAGCGTGCTAAGGAATCCTCAAAACTTGTTATATTGCGATAATTTGGTCAATGAAAGGTAGCTAGGGGAGTAACGATTCATATTTCTTGCGGTTCGATTCGATGTCGATTATGTAAATGTTTCTTAATTCTTATAACATAACGTGTAATGTAAACAACATGCAACCCTAAACCCTCAATTTGAGAACAGTAGGAGGGACAGGAGGATTCACAGTCGCTTGGTTCGTCGCCATGTTTGAGAACCTGACAAAAAGCGTGTCGCACATAGTTTGCCTTCTTTTGAAATTCTCAAGGGGTGGTTGAAGGACAGCATTTTTACCAGGCAATACAAAATGGCCCACGAAATGCTATCGTCTTTGCTCGTCAATCATAAACGCAGAATTTAAAACGTTCTGGATTCTGATTTTACAATATAATAACTCACTAAGGGCACCCTGGAAAAGGTGTGCAAAAAAATTGTGCAAAAATCGAACCAAAATCGAAACGTGGAAGCAAAGAATCGTGAATCGAACCGAACGGTCATAATCGCGATTAATCGAGAATTCGATTAATCGTTACACCACTAATGAAAGGCGTTTCTTTCGCCAATTTATGGTTTTATAGCTTGCTAAACTGCTAAGAGTACCCCAGGATTGTCGTGCGCGCAGGAAGTTAAGTGTGAGCGAAAGAAGATAACGCGCGAGGGAGAAGAAAGCTCTTCAATTCCTCTCTTGGTTAGTTCGCTCTCTCCTGTCCTGACAAGCCTCGACTGAAAAGACTGAAAGGGACAGCTTACAGTCTAAAAGCCAGGAGTTAAAGATAATAGACAAAATCTTCGAAAATACCGAGACTTAAACCCTAAAGTGCAAGATTGCTGGGATAAAAGTTGATTATGCCTCAGTATCAGATTTGATAATCGACGGGAGGTCGAAAAATGATTAGAATCGTCAATCTAGTAAATCGTTGAGATTTGTAACCGTTATTTTCGTTTTTAAGTTTATATTTTGTACTCATCATAATTTGACAGTGTCTTTTTCTAGACCAAGCTCTGTTGGGGATATTGGC